AAATAAAAAAATGATTGGCGGGAAAAAGATAGTCAAGTGAGAAGCGACCAATAGAGGGAGAAAAGGAGGAGCAGTAAAAAAGCTATACGTGTATACTATATGTTTAACAAACATATAATATACAGATACAATATATAAATATAACATTTTTTTTACTGGTCCTCCTCATTGTCCCACTATGGGTTACTTTTTCTCACTTTATATTTTGCAGTAGACTGAATGGTACATTTTTACATCCTTTTTGTTTGCCTGATTTAATTACCAAGTATTCTAGTGAAACTCCATAATCTTGAAATTCAGCATTTTTTTTTTCCGACGTAGGCTTGCCAAAATTTTTTTTACAGAGTGCCCAAGTCTTTATTATACTGTAATGCAAACAGTATGCTATGATATCAAAAGTGATAAAATAGCTTAAAAAGATATTTCAGAGGGAAGAACAGCAATTCAGTATGTTGTCATTATTTCGTATTAAGATGTATTCAGTAGATTGATGTTTGCATTATAATAAATAGCTTAATTAAAAGAGCGAAAATTAATAAAATAAAAAAAACAACAAAAAAACAGCATCCTCAATACCATTTAAGGCATAATCCAAATATTATTTATACAGACCCATTTGACAGCTGCTATTAGACTAGAGCTTCTAGATTAGCTTGGCTTACTAAAACCCACATAACTAGATAGCTATCTCAATTGGGCATCCCCCTGTAGAAAAGGAGCTTGATCGAGTGTAGTAAAATAATGGTCTGACCCATTTTCAGTACAAGTCAAGTGCACCTTTACCAGTGACCAAACATTTTCTTTTGCAATGGGCTTACACTTGAACACACTGTTTTTGCACTTTTTGTTTCCAGTGGGGGTTGCACAATTAAGGTAGCTATAGGGTTATGCAGGCTATTGTAATCTAGCAGATCTAGTCTAATAACAGCTGTCAAATGTGTCTGTATGATCAATATTTAGATTATACCCTTAGTGGTGTTCAGGGTGCCATTTTTGTTTGCTTGTTTTTAGTTCAGCTATTTATTATGATGACATCCAGGTGGCCAGAAGTGGTCACCCCAGAAGTGCCCAACAGGGGATATGAACCTGGATCCTTGTGTGTCCTGGGCCTGCTATTCTACCTTTAAGCCACAGCTTAAGAACAGGGCAAGAAATACTCAGAAATAGGACTATACATAGGACTACGCATTTAGACTGGATGAAAGGAGATTTAGTCTAAGGCTGTCAGGGATCTTACCTGGAGTGGGAGTCCGGCACGCAGAGTTAAAGCACCCTTTGCAATTCGACACAGGCTGAGGGGACTCAAGACAGAAATCCCCAAGGCTGTGACACAGTGCACTGGGGCTGAAATAACCAGTGCTTCCTGGAACACAGTACAGACAAGGGATATCCAGAAGAGTAGTCAGTAACAGAATCAGAAGTCAGGACAGAATGGTAGACGAGCAGGGGATCAAAATCAGGAGTCAGATGAATAGCAGTGAAACCAAACAGGAACAGGAAACACGATCTGACAACGAGAACCAGCCTTGCGGGGTTTAAATAGGGAGTCTCAGCCAATCATCAGGGAACCAGGAACAGGTGTGCAAATGTCCAGACCTAGAGATTCAGACAGCACAAAAAGAACTAGAGAGGCATGGCGTCAAGGACAAGGTGCCTGACTGGGATGCAGGAAACCCAGGTACAAACCCAGCCCTGTTCTATCTGGCTATGTCTCCAGTGACTGCTCCTGGCTATCTTGGTCCACCTGAAGCTCATTGCTAATTATCCAGCTATAAAACACTGCCTCTCTCAGAGGGTAGTGTCAGTTCATTGACTCTGGTTCCTGTATTTGTGAATCTTGATCCAGTGTTTTCCTGACCTTGGCTTATGTCTTTATTTATTCTGACCTCTGGTTTCCCCTGATTTTGGCTTTCAACGACTACTCTTCTGCTAGTCCTTGCCTGTACTGCGATTTGGCTCTATGTTACTGCACAGCCCCCATGCACAGACTTACAGCCCAGGTGGCTTCTTACCTGGTCTATGTTTATTTGCAAGGGTGAGCATATAACTCTGCACATCAGACTCCACATCAGGTAAGATCATGACAGATGCAAACATCAATCTACTGATTGTCCTAAGCAATTCATGATCAATCCATTTAATATTTTGAAAATGATGACCTACAGCACCAAATAATGTGAGTATTGAGCTCATTCTGTATAAGTATGTTTCAGGATTAATATTATAAAAATGTTCTCTTGTCCAAGCAATATACAAGCACAAGCAAGTGAATGAATAAAGTTATAGTAGACACCCAGCTTGCTATATTGACAGTTTATTCTTGATTCCCTTATTGCTGGGTTGGTACCTAGGTCTCTTCAATATATCATATGTCCCTTTTTTCTGTCATTAAGTTATTTAAGTAGACCTTTCTTGGAATATATAGGAAATAAATAAGTATTCATTTTACAAAATCTTAGACAAATCTTGTAATGTCCTGTTTTATTTTTAAATTGTCTTGATGTGTCTTGAGCTGTAAAAAATAAAATATATATGTAATTCTTAAGTGAATATTTAAAAAAAATCAATAATATTTATAATGTGGAATTTATGGACTGTTTTCAATTATAAGTATAGATCTCAAATTAATACAATACATTTATAGACATCCAGAGTTAATTACATTTTTTCCTGTTAAGAAATTTTCTACACATTATAAACTGTTCCGCTTGACAGTTAAAAATACAATCATTTGAGAAAATAAATTAATTTGATCATTAGGAAAAAGAAGAAAAATTGTGTCAGCATTCTCAAGCACAAGTTAAAGAGAATAAGAAGTCATGTAACTGTGCAAAGTATGTAATTACATTGAAGGAAAAATGCACCACTGTTAATTTGTCATCTTTTTAATTTTATATACTTTATAATGACTTTGTTAAGGGTACAAGACACATCATCTCAACTAAAAAGAAACACAGACCTAGACTGATGGAGGTTACTGTTTTTCCTTTTTGTCAGGTAAAATAGGAAACTGTTTTACAAATTCAGATAGTTGTTCAATTCTTGATAAATACACAGTTTTGGTGTGTTGCCAGCAGACTTGCAAATTTTAGACCAATATATCAGAACTGGAATAATATCTACCCTGATTAGCCACACAATTAAAACCACTGACAGGTGAAGTGAATAACAATGGTTATATATTGTTAGAAAGGCACCTGTCAAGGGGTGAGATATATATCAGTGTCAGGGTTCTCACCATGCCATACAGATGGCCAGGTGTGGCGTAGCCTGCTATCTGCCTTTTGAGCCACATCAGTTCTGTTTATTTTGAGCTGTTCTAGCCTTATTATTCCAGGCTATATCTGCAGCACTGGGGGCTGGACTTCATCTGTGGTCATTGCAAGTGCTTCACCTGACTCAGATTAGTCATCAGCATGGTATATAAACACAGCCTCGTCCTGGGAACTTGATCAAGTCTTTGATCCTGTTGTGTGTGTTCAGTACCTGTGCCCCAGTCTCTTGAACCTTTACTCCATATTGACCCGGCTTCTGTCTTTGTTTATCCTGATCTCTCGCATCCCTTGACTTTGGCTACACTTCGTAATTCTGACCTCTGGCATCCTTTGACTTTGGCTACCCTCTGACTATCCTGCTGTTTGTGTCCTTGTCGGTACTGCATTGGAATCACCTCTCCTGCACAGCCTCTGTGCACAGATTCACAGTCCAGGTGGCTTCTTATCTGGTCACCTTGGACTGTGTCTACCTGCAGGGGTGAGCAAACATATCTGCGCTACAGACTCCTATCTCAAGTAAGAACCCTGACAATTAGGCAGCAAACAAGGGCTTTGACAAGGACCAAATAGTGATGGCTACATGACTGGGTCAGAACATCTCTAAAATTAAAAATATTATGGGTGAACTGGTGTCGGGGTCATGGGCACCCAATACACATTGATGCACGTGGGTTAACTTGTTTGGTCTGATCACACTAGAGAACTACTGTAGCACAAATTACTGAAAAACATAATGCTGGCAATGATAGAAAATTGTCAGAACACACATTGAGTTGCAGCACTGGACTGTGTAGCCCCAGACCAGTCAGTGTGCCTATGATGTCCACTACCAAAATTACCTTAATGGGAATGTGAGCATCATAACTGGACCATGGAAACCTTGTTTCTTGGCATTCATGGGGATGTTACTTTGACACATATCACCTAGCTAGAGATTGTTGTAGACCACATGCACCCTTTCATGGCAACGGTGATCCCTGATCATAATGGCCTCTTTCACTCCACAAAAAATTATTCAGGAATGACTTGAGGAACATGATAGAGTTCAAGGTGTTGCCATGGCTTTCAAATTCCCATTTATTGAGCTGTGGGATGTGCTAAAAGAACAAATGCAAACCATGAAAGTCCCACTTTGCAAATTTTAGGACTTGCAAGGATCTGCTGCTTATGTCTTGGTGCTAGATAGGACATGTTCAGAGGTCTCGTGTAGTCCATGCATCAAAGCTGTTTTGGCAGAATGAGGGAGACCTACCTTATATTAGGCAGGTGATTTTAATGTTATCAGTGATCAATACACATACTCATTTCCAACTCAGGAGTAACTTTGGGAAGACGTGGGAATCAGAAGGGACAGGGTATTACCTGATACACAATGGGACAAGGTATTGGAATTATATTCTGCCTTTCCACATGGGATAGGCACACCTATGTATTATTCTAATTAGAATTAATTTATTTATTTATGGTTACTGAGCTTAAACCATTTGACTATTGTAAGTAAAATTGTACAGATCAAAGATATTTTTTTTAACATTTATAATTTTTATTTTTTCAAAAACGTACAGTTCACAGCAAATTTCATGTACTGTAACTATGTAATTGCATGGTTGGATTGCCTCATGGACCCCTGGCTTCATCCTTCCATTCAGTGTTAAACACTTAATTATTTGTTTAACATTTAACAGGAGTCCCAGACAGCTCATTCCCTCTGTGCTGCTCAGTGTGAAAGAATTTACTTTGATTCCAAGGTTCAAGCTTATAGGTGTCATATTAGATATCCTATATTAAAATTGGCTAATTTGGACTCAGGAAATGCTTAATGCTTAAAATGACACTTAAGACCATATGTCTAGTTCTTGGAGCACATAGCCCCCACGTGAGCTGTTTCTCCTAAATCAGTCTGTTCTTTCTCTTTCTCTTTCTCTGAACTTATCTGTTATATGTACATGATGTTCATCCATATGTCTTATCTGTACTCCTTTCACTCCATTCCTGCTTCTGTCCTATGAGTATTTGCACGTAAGCACTTACTTTTTAATGTATAAAAACACATACTGAAAAATAAATGACAGAGGCTTATTTTGATTACCAACAGGTCTCTGATGTCTAATTCACGCTTCTCCAAGTGCACTTGAAATAACAATTTGGGCTCCCCTGAATATCACAAAGATCACATTGGATCTATATAAATTGGTGCTGAAACCCGGGATCAGACAAATCCAGTCCATCCGGACCCAGATGGAGTGGCTCGCAGCTCGAGAGATGGTTAATCAGCTGCAGTGGGTGAGGAAAAGCTTTTATTTTTCTATTTTTCTCTTTTATTTTTCTTTAAAAATGTCTGATTTAAAGAACTTGTTTTCTGTGGTATTATGGTTATATTCAGGTGGACATTGTTATGTCTTGTTAAAGGAATCTTGAGATAGTGGAATATATCTGTGGGTTTTAAGTTATTTTTTTTTATTGTTTGCCTTGTCATTTGTTTTATAATTCGAGTTAGAATCCTCCTAGGGCAGATCTCCTGATCTGTGTTTAGAATAACGAAGACAAGACTGTGAAAATTCCACTGAAGTGGTTCTATGTGTCTAATACACTGTTTTTGTACAATTTGTCTTGTGTAAGGAAATATTTAACCCGTACAAGAATCCTGTAGATTCCATCTTAAAAACATAGCCCGCATCCGCCCCTTTCTTGCACCAGATACTGCCAAGGAGCTTGTCCATGCTCTAATAATTTCACGCATGGATTATTGTAACCCTCTCCTGCTTGGTCTTCCCAAAAGCCGTACTGCACCCCTACAGTCTGTAATGAATCCTGCTGCTAGACTGATTTTCCTCTCTAGTCGGTTCTCTCACACCTCACCCCTCTGCCAGTCCTTACATTGGCTTCCTGTGTGCTATAGGAGTCAATTCAAGGCACTAACTCACACCTTTAAAGCACTGAACAACTCTAGCCCCTCTTATATCTCCTCACTGATCCACAGGTATGTCCCTTCTCGGTCTCTCCGCTCTGCCCGTGACCACCTCCTGTCCGTTGTCCGCACCCGTACGGCCAACTCGCGCTTGCAGGACTTCTCGCGGGCGGCTCCCTTCCTATGGAATAGCCTGCCTCCCGCCATCCGACTCTCCCCTAGTCTTGCATCTTTTAAGAAGTGCCTTAAAACCCATCTCTTTAGGAAAGCTTATGGCCTCCAAGACTAACCCCTACCTCACATACCCGTCTCTTGCCCTCTCCTAAAGGGCAGCCCACCTTTTTTGATTGCACATTCCTGTCCTAATGTATCTTACACCCCACCTCCTATAGAATGTAAGCTCGATTGAGCAGGGTCCTCTTCAACCTATTGTTCCTGTAAGTTTATTTGTAATTGTCCTATTTATAGTTAAATCCTCTTTCATAATATTGTAAAGCGCTACGGAATCTGTTGGCGCTATATAAATGGCAATAATAATAATAATAATAATAATAATAAGTTTTAAGATGGGTAGCTCTCAAAGCACTCTGGGGGGATTTACAGCTTTTACTATAGTCAAGCATCACAAAGGAGCAATTAAGAATATTAAGAGGTTACTTAAGAAAGCTGGCATGCCTTCAGAGGGCACTCTAGACCCACATATATGGAGGGAATTTATGGCAAATTACAGAGGATGGATATAAGATAACGACTAAGTAGAAGTTGCCCAAATGGCATGATACTGCAATTGAATTAACTAAATGTGGTTGTAGAGAAACCACCAGAAATGGTATACCATATTATCAATGTTTTGGACCTCTAGGGTCCCAGAGTATGCAAGATCTTGGGAAAAATCTTGTAAACCCACAACCTTACCCGGATAAGGCAGGGACTCCTTTGGTCCCTAAAGACCAGGTGATTTCCCAAAATATTGATTCTACTACCACTAGTCAGAAAGAATATTTGGATCTGTCCACGGTGCAAATCTAGGGGGGAGGAAAAGTGTACAAGTTGTGGTTCCCCTAAACCCCCAGTTCACATATTTGCCCTTTTACAGAAATCAGAACCTCTCTTTCCAGTAATATTACACAGTGAGACTTCATATGGTGCCCCACTAAGACCTATAGGTTCATTAGAGGAAGAGGGTAGTCCACCAGACTTAAGGGAACCCCTAGTTGCCCTCCTAGACACCCCAGTGGGGCCTTTAGCTCCACAATTTACTACTCCCATGATACCCAAAGTTGAGTGCGTATATCATGAGAAGAGACAGCTAAGCTCACGTATCCAATACTGGGAAGAATATAAGCCCTGGACACCCAGTGAACAACTGGAAATAATACAGCAGCAGCCAGATGTAGAAAAGGCCCCCTTAGCTATAGTCCAGTCTCCATCCACCATTCAAGCTACTTACCAGTGTAAGTACAAATTGTTGCCCTAAAAGCTGGCCCCATTTGGGCTAGAATAATTGTTAAATATACTGATGCCCATGAAGATAATCTCAGAAGAAGCAATATGCAAACAGATGAATGGTTTGGAACCAAGTCTGCATCTGGAGCATGTTATGTCACTGCAATGAGAGAATGGGCTAAAGTAAAGACAGAGTAACTAGCCCATAAATTAGGAGATATAGTACAAGGGAAAGATGTCTCTGTTGAAACATTCTTCACCAGACTACAGATGGCTTTGGAGGAATTGGGTTACACAGAAGTTGAAGCCACAAGAGACTGCTTATTAACTGCTTTATGGATGGTCTCCACATACCCATAAGGAATGGTCTCCAAAATGCAAGACCTAAGTGGAGACGTTTAACCTATGGTGATCTGGTAAAGGTGGCTATGGGAGGGGAAGTCAATCTAAATACTAGAAAGTCCCTAGAGCTGGTGGAGACAGAAGGCAGGTAGACTGCTGGAATTGTGGCAGGAAAGGACACATTAAACACAAATGCAGGTGTCCTCCTAAAAAACCCCAGAAACCCTCAGGATTCAAATGATAACTCCATGACAACCCACCACCTCCCTCTCCCCAATAGGAATTGGCAACCCAGTGTCCCTACATACTTTCAATATCCCTTACTCAGCTGGACCCTCACCCATTATCAATGTTACACTGCCCGGGGACCGAATAGTCCCTTTTCTTCTGGACACTGGGGCAACTAAATCAATGTTGCAGGAAAAATATGTTCCCGTATGAGAAGTCTGAAGATGTATTATCATGTGTACGGGAGGATGGGATCTCAAGTGACATTCCCAAGTGACATTTATTGAATAAAGCAAAATCTTCAGGCACTCGCTAAACCAAACTTGACAAAGCCCTTGTATAGGGTTGAAATGTTGCTCTGGTAAATCAATAAAACTGCCTGTGGTTTGAACACTGTGAGTGCCTAATGATTTTGCTTTATACTGTGATACTACTTTGGATTTGCTGGTCCTGCTTCAGTTAAGCACCCAGTGCTCATTTGGAATTGAGTGTGGTTCCATTTCATGCTTTTTTATAGAAGTGTGCATGGTGCAAAAAAATAATTTTCTCCAAATTGATTTGTCTGGAAAAAGAAAAATAGTATTAATCAGTGAATTCCAGATTCATCCCTGTGGCGGTTTGGATGAATGTCGTCAATGAAATCATTTCTGGAAAAGCCATTTGGACAAACTAAAATGGTGCAGAATGGTGCCATTCTGTTTAATATAAAATACATTATGTATATTTTAGACATGTGCAATTCGTTTCGTTCCAAATGTTAATTTGGACGAAATTCGGGCAATTTGGACATTCGGTATTGCCAAAGTACCAATATACTTACCCAGTGGAAGAATGATGAATGTTACACTGTATACAAGTTTAAATAAAAAGTATACAAACATAGCCAGGATTCAGCTGTAAGCATTTGCAACACTTACAATAATCAAGTAACACACATTCATATAAAATGTAAGTCACTTAGCCTGTCAATGGAATGACAGGAATAAATAAGTAGATATCTCCCTAATTCCCACGGTATTAGGGAGCTATCTATTAAAAGGCTGAAAGACCCAAATTGGTCTTTTAGCCAAAATTACTAATACTAAGTAAAGATTACTTAGTATTAGTAAAGTATGCCCCTACTCGCTATACCGCAAGTAGGGGCATGTCTAGTCTGTGGCTGCTCACTGTAAAATAAACAAACAAACAAAAAACTATTGTCCTCCCCCGGCCCCCACCCCTGAGTGGTGGGTGGGGGCCCTAAAATACTTAAAGGGGGGGGACCTATTGTCCTCCTTCCTGCCTCTCAGGGGTGGGGGCCCTAAATAAAAATGCCCCCCTCAGTTAACTAGGGGTCCCCAATCCCCTAGTCACCCCTTCACAAAAAATATTCAATTCCCTACCAACCACCCTCATCCTAAAAATAGTGAGGGGGGAACAATAGTTAAGTACCTGTAAAAAAAAATAAAACTTACCATTTGATGTCTTCCTTTTTTCTAAAATCTTCTTTTTTCAGCTCCAGAAAAGGCCAAATAAAATACCATAATAACCGTCGCACTTAAAAAAAAAAAGAAAACGAGCGCAAAAGAAATAATCCATGTTCACCCATGGAGGGCTCCACGCATACATATAAAGCCTTGCCCCGCCCTGCAATTAGGCTCAGAGCACTCTGATTGGTTGGTTTAAGCCATCCAATCAGAGTGCTCTGACAGGTAGATGAAGAGACTGACAGGTAAGTCTCTACATTTACCTGTCACATCACTCTGATTGGTTAGCTTGAAGTCCAGCCAACCAGAGTGCTCTGTGCCATTTTACACAGCGTGGGAAAGTTCTTTGGAATTTTCACACGCTGTGTAATTTGACTCATAACTCTCTGATTGGGTACTTTCAATCCACCAATCAAAATTACACAGCAGGGGAAAATTCCAAAGAACTTTCCCATGCTGTGTAAAATGACACAGAGCACTCTGATTGGCTGGATATCAAGCTAACCAATCAGAGTGCTGTGACAGGTAATCTTTACTTAGTATTAGTACATTTGGCTGAAAGACCAATTTAGGTCTTTCAGCCTTTTGGTAGATAGCTCCCTAATACCGTGGGAATTAGGGAGTTATCTCCTAAGCGGCTTCAAGAGAACATCCGAAGTTCCAAAATTTCGATTTTCCGAAGTTGTTGAAATGCCGAAGTGCCGAACCGAACTGCTGATGTCCCGAATTTTGGAATGCCGAACCGAACCAAATTTTTTTCCCCATGCACATCCCTAGTATATTTTCAGTACACTGATTTTTTTTCAGTACACTGACTTATGTGCTTGTCCCCTAACGATCAATCATCTATTTATTTATTCTTGGCATTACGGGTGGAACTTTGAATATCA